GCCACCATGTCCAGCCCCAAGACTGGAACTTTCAGAGTAGGGCTACCCCCACGGGGCTTCCAGGTGGCCCAGCTTGGAGCAGGTGCCTGCCCTGGGCTCTCTGAGTGTCCCATCCTTCTGGGTGAGCCACAGCCCTGTCCACATCCTAGGCTTTCCAGTTCTGGGAGCTGTGCCATTTCTTGGAACTGCTGGGATGACTCCCCCTCTGGACGCCTTTGAATCTAGGCTCTTTTTGGAGCTGAATGCCCTCCCCTTTACTGTCTTGCCTGCAAACAGAGATCTCGTTTGAAAACTCTCCTCTGCCAAGCAGTGAGCATAACCGTGCTGGGTGTGTTTATAGAGCGGGAACTTGAGGTTCTCTGACACGCCACACTGTGCTCTTCCTTTAGCTTCCCACTCATCCTCCAACCCGGCACCGTGTGAAGCAACTCCTTGCAGTTGATGAGTGCTCTTTCTTCCCAGTGGCCTCCGCGCCCAGATACGGAGGGGCGGGCTGAAGCAGAGTGACTTCCGGGGATGGGACACCTGGGTGGGAGGCCACAGCCCTTGGAACAGGAGAGCCGCGTGTTGGGAACACTCACAAGGTCAGGCCAGTGTTTGCTTTCGAGTTCTGAAAGAGCCATGGGGGTCGGTACACTGAGACTGCAATCCGCTGGCTTTGACTTGGTCATGGAATCAATGCTGGGGTTTGCACAGTATGTTGACTATAGGTAACGACCACGTATGGCCAGTTGAAAACAGCACACAGGACTTTGCTCGCTCACCACAGACCGGAAGGTAACAGAGTGTACAGACCTCGCTGTGTACCCCCAGAGGCACGTACAGTTATCAGATGTCCATTTTTAAAACAAACAAACAAAAAAAGGAAGGTCTTAGAATTGTCATAGCCCTGCTTCATCGTAGCAGCTCGTCTCTGAAGTCCCAGCACCTGCCAAGCCAGATGAAAGGGAGGCCAACAGGTGGGAGTGGGGGGCTTCTCACACACTGCCCCCTTCTCACTCTGCCTTTCAGATGAATAGATGCACGCTTTCCAGTAAGAAACGGGTGCAGAGCTCCAGGACTGAGCGAGGGGTCTGGCCATCCTCTAGGCTGACCGCTCTGGGGTTTTATTTCCTGCGTCAGATCCTGTCTGCGGAAACCACAGAAGTGAAGCCTCAAATCCTTTTTTATTTATTTCTTTTAATAATTCTATAAATTGGCAGTTACAGTTGTATTTTTCATTGGAGTTACGTTATGTGATTTGCTTTTACTTTTCCCAAATCTCCCGAACTGTAGAGTCACAGCAGCGGGCTGCCCTCGGCTATATCTGCGAGTTGGTGTGCGGGAGGACATTTTGAGAGACCCCCAAGACTCGGGGCCGGCAGGCAGCCAGGGCAGCTTGCTGAGCGAGCAGTATCCGGAGGAGTCACCTTTGCAGCTCACCGTCCACACAGTTGGGCTGGGAACCTTGGCTCTGGCTGTGTGTGCTGGTCACTTGTCAGTCTCTGCAGGACCTGAACCCACAGAGCCCTGCCCCACGGCCACTCGTGGCCCGATGGGTGCCTTTGTTGTGGCAGTGCTCGCTGCCCCAGTGGAGCGTGCGTGGTGGGAGTCCCCAGCTCTGAGTGCCCTATCTTAACTGTCTCCACTCCCATTGATACGGAGAAGACACTAGAGGGTGCTGTGTCCCCAGCAGTGCTGCTTTCCAGGGCAGGGCTGGCAGAGGGCTAGCCAGGGCAGTCCGTAGCTCCCTTGATCTCCCTCCCCTGGGCTGTCCCGGGTCGGCACACTTTGTTCGGTTTGTGGAAGACATTGGCTCGGAATGGCTGATGAGCCAAATGCAAATGTGTTTCACGGAGTTTGTGTCTATTTTAGAACCAGACTAGCCCCGTCTTGCTAATGATGGCGAAATCGAACGAGATGTGAATTTGAGATCAGATAAACTGCTCAAATATTTGGGGCAAAGTCAGTGCCCAGGTCTGGACTGGGCTATTTAAGGAAGGAAAATAGCTATTAATAACTTGATTGGCAGCTGTGTCAGTGAGTGTCTCCTCACAGATCCGTGTGAAGGGCGTTTTGTGAGGAGCGCATGCCTCCCTCTCCCTCCTGCTCGTTCAGAAGCCACCGCGGGGAGTGCCTGGACCCCAGGGCAGCGTGCCCGTCAGCGCACCTGTTCAGGAGCATCTGCCTCCGTCTCCTCTCTCCCTGCCCGGCGGGAGCTGTGTGTGACTGGGTGACGAGTGGGCATGTTCACATGACCGCAGGCGCAGAGGCACACCAGCCCTTGCTGAGACGCGTGGCACGTGGGCAGTCCAAGACCCAGCAGCCGTGAGCTTTCCCCACAGATGGCGTGGTGTGGGGAAGCGCCGTCCCCCTCACCAGACGTCTAGAACACCCCTTTTGGAGTTGGAGTTTCCCGGGGCCATTGGAATGTAGACAAGTTTTAAAAGTCACATGACAGTGAGTGGATCTGTTATCCAAACAGATAACACACCTAATGGCGCCCCAAGGAGACCCTGAGGTTGGGTTTACAGTGGGGCTTCAAAGGTCTATTGTTTCGATGGGGGTGGAAGGTGTGAACCTGCTAACTAGTTACCAGACTGCTTGGGCTTTGGTGGGCATGTTCACAGGTGAGAAAGCAGAGAGGAGCCGTGGGAGTTGTCTGCCCGTGAGGACCACCCTGCAGCTGTCCTTTGGTGCTGGAGGACCCCTTGTGTGCCTGCAGCAGTGTTGGGGCTGTCAAATCAATGGTGGTCGGAAAGCCAGACTTTGCATCCTCAGGTCTGTCAGTGGGGACCACTGGTGGGTGGCCAGAGCAAGGTGACAGCAGAAACAGCAGGTCTGGGGTCCCATCCTCAGGCCTCTGAGAAGAGCCATATGAAGTTGCTCCCTCAGCCGCTACAGGGCAAGGCTGGCGTCCAGCATCCAACAAAGACACGCTCACTAGTCATGTCTCACCCAGTATTGATTATTGATTCCTGACGGCCTAGTGAGGCAGGAAAACTGTGAATACGACAACTAAACCAATGCTAGGTTGTCAGTACACTGCAGGTGCTAATTGGGGAGGGTTGCATTGTGTCCATTCTAGAACCTTCCAGAAGCCTCTTGAAGGGGGTTAGCCCGAGGTCTCAGTAAACACAGGCTGTGGCTGGATGGTCAGTGTCTTCGTTGCTTCCCCCACGGTGGCTCAGCAGCAGCATCCCCTGCAGATGCCAGGACAGTGAGCGGACACGAATTTTCACTGGGGTCTCTGCTTGTGGCATCCAGGCCCATCCCCAGCTGTGAGCACTGCCTGTTCACCCTTGGTGTCTGTCCTTGTCATGGATTAATTACTGATTATGCGGTAATTATTAATGACCAATTCAGCATTTTCACCTTGTTCATACCTGGCCACAGGATTAATATTTGACTCTTAATGAGCTGAGTGGCAGCAGTGCCACCTCCTGCCCTCCCCTGTCCTCCCCACAAGCCCTGGCCAGGTAGAGCTCTGTCTTAGGTGCCGCCTCTGCTATCCCACTGCCCTAGCCTGTGCCCCTAGCGTCTGGGCCAGGACCTTTGTCCTGCACGCAGTCTGGGAGGGGCAGGCTAGGCCTCATGGTCCTCGGCCTGCCTAAGCCCTTAGCAGCCCTCAGGGGTCCCCTAATCTGGAGGGGGAGCAGCAGTCAGGGTGTTTCATGACCCCCACCTGCTACAGATGCCCAGGTAGTGACCCCTGGGGACCTTTGTCTCTCCCCCCCTCCCCACGCGGACTGCCAGGCCTGGCTGTGTTCTGGTGTCATTCGTATCGCCCTCTGCCTTTTCTTGTTTATGCCCCTCAGCCTGGACAGACACAGGGAGCCTAAGCAAGGGCCGTTACGGAGTTTTGTGCAGGGAGCAGTGTGTTTTGGGATGGTCTGTGGCCTCCTTCACAGAGCATGCACCTGCTGAGGTCAGATGAGTAGATGCCAAGCTCTCTTTGGACCCAATAGCTCTTTGCTCAGTGCTATGGGATCTTGGGCAAACTCCTCAATCGCGCAAGGCCTGACTCCTAAGCTTCTACGGGGTGAACAGTGATGGTTTTGTAGGACAGAGATGAAGTAGTGCTGAGTCACATGCCGCTGTTTGCTGTGGGGCCCGCTTGTTCTGAACCAACTCTCGCCATCCACAAGGCAGCATCCTCTGCTACCCATGTTATAACGGAAGAGGACATAGGATGCCCAGATCTCCATCCCTGACCCAGACCCTCAGCACACGGCCAGATGAACACACAGCATACCCAGTGGTTGCAAATGCACAACATCCGAGGAGCCCAGGCACAGCCCTGCGCTGCAACCAGGCCGTGTGGCGCTTCTCGGGATCGTTGCCTTGCGAAGCTGCAGCCTGGCCTTTAGAAACCCCTGCTTTAAGAGGCTACCCTGAGCCCAGCTGTGCGTCCTATCTGAGCGTGCTGGCTGCAGTCCCGTGTCCCTGGACCCACCCATGTTCTCAGAGCTGCACGCACACTAGGGCATGAGAGACTGTGGAACCTCGGGAGCCCGGGCTCTACAGGGTGCCGGGAGGAGGGCCCCATTTCTCCCGCAGCTTGTTCACCAGCCACCTTCTGGGCAGTGTCTGGGCTGGTGTTTAACCAGAGCTGGGCACTATGCCCTACACAGGTTGGCTTGCAGAGTGCAACACTGTACCCTGTGCTCCGCCCCGTTCTGTTCACCTGCTCTGGGCCACCTGGCTGCTGCCCTCTGCACAGACACCAGAGCCGGTGTTGGGCATCTCTGGCCCAATCTGCCTCGTTGGGGACCATCGTGTCCCGGGATGGGCCGGTCTGTGGCACTCAGAGCACTGGATCGTGGTGGAGTGTGGCACTTGGGTGGGGCTGGGCTGAGCAGGTGGACTTGGATGACTGCTGCTGGCGTCTCAGAGATGGATGCCAAGTGCCATGCCCAAGGCTGCTTTCAGCCGGTGCCGCTGAGCTCTGGCGCCTGAGCCCAAGGTGTAGCAGGCCTCCTTAATGTGTCCTTCCCACTCTTGTCGTGTCTTGTACAGAGGACGACGTGGATCTGGAGGTGCTGGTGAGTGACATGAACGCATCGCTGGAGAGCCTGTACTCGGCCTGCAGCATGCAGTCGGATACGGTGCCGCTCCTGCAGAACGGCCAGCACTCGCGCAGCCAGCCGCCGGCCCAGGCTGCCCGGGCTCCGCCGCCGCAGGCATCACCACGGCAGAAGGTGCAGCGCTCCCAGCCTGTGCACATCCTGGCTGTCAGGTGAGGTCGGCACCCCGGTAAGGCAGGGTTGTGGGCAGCCCAGCTGCTGGTGGGTTTGTCTTCTGTGTGTGAGACACACTGGGCTCTTGGGTGCACAAGCACATGTGTCCGTGGCTTCTCATTACCACCCTCCCCACGTGTGATCAGACATGATCTGCACAATGAAAGGACAGAAGTGGGAGCCACAAGCTGGTGCTATGTGACAGGGGCCACAGCTGACCCTCGGGTGGCATGGTGCAAGTAAGCGCCTCTGATCCTGGCTCGAGCACAGGGGCCAGAAGCCACTAATGGGAGGAGCTGGCAAGCCTGAGCTTGCTGGTAGCTCTGGGTGAACCTGGGGCTGTGCTCAGCACCAGTGCCTTCAGGTGAGCACTTGCTGCGTGCCAAGCACCATTCCTGCTGGAGAGCAAGCAGGGAAACCAGCAAAGGAAAGGTGCTCCGGGTAGCTGTGACGGGGTGATGCAGGTGATGGGGTGGGGGCTGTCAGCAGCAGCCATGGCCCCCTCAGCCCAGCCCCTTCCCAGAGCCATGCCTCGCCACGCTCCCAGGAGCGTGGTGATTGCAGCAGGGTGGCGCGAGAGAGGCTGGCAGGAGCCAGCTCTGCAGGCCCCAGGCTCCCTTCCCAGGGGCAGGGCACAGGTGTGTGAGGACATCGACCTGGGTCCTGGCAGCATCCCCTGGCTCCAGGGTTGGCAGAGGGCTTTAAAAGGGCCGAGCGTTTGCTGGCTGAAGAGCTGGCTGGCTGGAGGTGGTGGTGATCTGACTGAAGACACTGGGGATGTGGTGGGCATTTGTGGTGGGCATTTCTGGTGGGCCAGGACACAGCTGGGAGCGGGGGGCTACTCTGTCTCGAGTACCCGGGGTACAGGGGCTGGGAGGTGAGGTGGTCGGACAGAGGGGAAGACCTCTGTGACCCAGGCTGAGCCCAGAAGATGGCTGCTTCTGTCTGTCCCCCGCCCTCTCCTAGGGACCCCTTGGGGGTTCAAGCTCGGAAGACTCAGGAGAATGCGCAGGAGACCTTGTGTCGGCCGAGTGGCCTCCAGGCTCAGTCCCCGGAGAGCCTGTGTGCTGGTGCGCCGGGAGCAGCTGCTGATGGGCCGTCCTCTTGCTCCTCACACAGGCGCTCGCAGGATGAAGACCAGCACTTCCGTACCTCATCGCTGCCGGCCATTCCCAACCCCTTTCCTGAGCTTGGGGGTTCTGGGAACAATGCCACTGCCGCAGCTGCCGCTGCTGCCACCGCCTCGGCCTCGGCGAGCCTCCCGTCGGCCTCCTTGCCTGCGAGCCAGCCTGTTACCAAGCAGGTGAGTGTGCGGCTGCATTTCTGAATGGGAACTCTTGTGCCGTGAAAGGGTTTTTGCTGCACAGAAGCTTAACCCGCCCCTGGAGGAGCTCTGGTCCTGTACCCAAGTGCCAAGTGAGTCCCATCTCCACTCTGACCCAGCTCGTGCTAATTGTGCCTGGGAGAGCAGGATGGAGTTCCTACCTCCAGGTGTCATCCTGGCCCAGGTCAGTCCTGACAGGTGTTTGAGAGATTGAAGCAGCAGAGGAAAGATCTGTTTCTAAGATTTTTGTTTTTAGTTGAAAGGCAGAGTTATAGAGATGGGCAGGAAGAGAATTTTCCTTCTGCTGGTTCACTCCCCAAATGGCCACAACAGCCAGAGTTGAACTTGTCCAAACCTGGGAGCCAGGTGCGTCTCTGGGTCTCCCCTGTGGATTCAGGGGTCCAAGCACTTGGACCAGCCTTCTCTGCTTTCCCAGACCATAAGCAGGGACCTGGATCCAAAGTAGAGCTGCTGGACTCAAATTGGTGTGTCTCATATGGGGCACTGGCACTGCAGGCAGCCAACCACAGCACTGGCCAGCCATCAGAACCTGCCATTAGGTGCCAGTTCATGCAGCCATCTTCCCTGTATGCGCAATCTTGATGGCCAGTCCTGTCGGAGAGACAGGCTGGCGGCTACCTGTGCCACGTTAACCGTGGCAGGTGCCAAGGGGGATTCCAGGCCATACCAGTAGTGCCCAGAGGGCTAGGTAATGAGTGGCAGTGGCAACAGCAGATGTCCTGAAGTTCCGTGTGCCAGCACTGCTCGGAGTGGGTACTCCTTCACACGTCTGCTCCTCAGACCTGCAGACTAGGGACGTGCTCTCCGTTTGCGTGGCACCCCCAGTGCAGGCTGTATCCACAAGGCCCAGGGTGTCCTGAGACCCTGGCCGCTCCAAAATACGCCTGGCTCCAGTTGCTACACCTCCACGTGGTATCTTCACCCTTCTGATCCACTGTCTCACAGGCCAGCCAGCCACTGCACACGCATAGCCTGTCCTCACGGGTGGCTGTGCACTGGGCACGTGGATGGTTGCATTAGTACAGCTAGCTCTGGCCTCCATAGCTGGCTGGAAAGCCCAGCAGCAGGCCACCGAGGGACTCCATCAGGAGCACGTGGGCTAACTCTGGGTGCTGCTGAAACCCTGAAGACCATTTGGGTGTCCACCTCCTTTGGGACATCTGGCTCAAATAAGAGTATTGATAGACCATCCATGGAAGTGTAGCCTGGGTTGTCTGCAGTGCTCACAAACTGTTCCATTTCCCTGTGTGCACACACACACTGCGTGCACACACAGCTCCATCTCATTGCACATGCTTGTGCACACACAGCTCCATCTCCCTGCACGCACACAGCTCTGTCTCCCTGCACACACACAGCTCCGTCTCCCTGCACACACACAGCTCCGTCTCCCTGCACACACACAGCTCCGTCTCATTGCACACACACACAGCTCCGTCTCATTGCACATGCTTGTGCACACACAGCTCCATCTCCCTGCACGCACACAGCTCTGTCTCCCTGCACACACACAGCTCCGTCTCCCTGCACACACACAGCTCCGTCTCCCTGCACACACACAGCTCCGTCTCCCTGCACACACACAGCTCCATCCCACTGCACACACACACAGCTCCGTCTCATTGCACATGCTTGTGCACACACAGCTCCGTCTCCCTGCACGCACAGCTCTGTCTCCCTGCGTGCACACACAGCTTTGTCTCCCTGCAAACACACACAGCTCCATCTCTCTGCACACACAGCTCCGTCTCTCTGCACACACAGCTCCGTCTCCCTGCACACACACAGCTCCGTCTCTCTGCACACACAGCTCCGTCTCCCTGCACACACACAGCTCCGTCTCTCTGCACACACACAGCTCCATCTCCCTGCACACACAGCTCCGTCTCCCTGCACACACACAGCTCTGTCTCCCTGCAAACACACAGCTCCGTCTCCCTGCGTGCACACACAGCTCCGTCTCCCTGCACACACACAGCTCTGTCTCCCTGCACACACACAGCTCTGTCTCCCTGCACACACAGCTCCGTCTCCCTGCGTGCACACACAGCTCCGTCTCCCTGCACACACACAGCTCTGTCTCCCTGCACACACAGCTCCATCTCCCTGCACACACACAGCTCCGTCTCCCTGCACACACACAGCTCTGTCTCCCTGCACACACAGCTCTGTCTCCCTGCTGCACACACAGCTCTGTCTCCCTGCGTGCACACACAGCTCTGTCTCCCTGCACACACACAGCTCCGTCTCCCTGCACACACACAGCTCTGTCTCCCTGCACACACACAGCTCTGTCTCCCTGCGTGCACACACAGCTCCGTCTCCCTGCACACACACAGCTCTGTCTCCCTGCACACACAGCTCTGTCTCCCTGCACACACACAGCTCCATCTCCCTGCACACACACAGCTCCGTCTCCCTGCACACACAGCTCTGTCTCCCTGCTGCACACACAGCTCCGTCTCCCTGCACACACAGCTCCGTCTCCCTGCACACACACAGCTCCGTCTCCCTGCACACACAGCTCCGTCTCCCTGCACACACACAGCTCTGTCTCCCTGCACACACAGCTCTGTCTCCCTGCAAACACACAGCTCTGTTTCCCTGCGTGCACACACAGCTCCGTCTCCCTGCACACACACAGCTCTGTCTCCCTGCACACACACAGCTCTGTCTCCCTGCACACACACAGCTCTGTCTCCCTGCACACACAGCTCTGTCTCCCTGCACACACAGCTCTGTCTCCCTGCGTGCACACACAGCTCTGTCTCCCTGCACACACACAGCTCTGTCTCCCTGCGTGCACACACAGCTCCGTCTCCCTGCACACACACAGCTCTGTCTCCCTGCAAACACACAGCTCCGTCTCCCTGCGTGCACACACAGCTCCGTCTCCCTGCACACACACAGCTCTGTCTCCCTGCACACACACAGCTCTGTCTCCCTGCACACACAGCTCCGTCTCCCTGCGTGCACACACAGCTCCGTCTCCCTGCACACACACAGCTCTGTCTCCCTGCACACACAGCTCCATCTCCCTGCACACACACAGCTCCGTCTCCCTGCACACACACAGCTCTGTCTCCCTGCACACACAGCTCTGTCTCCCTGCGTGCACACACAGCTCTGTCTCCCTGCGTGCACACACAGCTCTGTCTCCCTGCACACACACAGCTCCGTCTCCCTGCGTGCACACACAGCTCTGTCTCCCTGCACACACACAGCTCTGTCTCCCTGCGTGCACACACAGCTCCGTCTCCCTGCACACACACAGCTCTGTCTCCCTGCACACACAGCTCTGTCTCCCTGCACACACACAGCTCCATCTCCCTGCACACACACAGCTCCGTCTCCCTGCACACACAGCTCTGTCTCCCTGCGTGCACACACAGCTCCGTCTCCCTGCACACACAGCTCCGTCTCCCTGCACACACACAGCTCCGTCTCCCTGCACACACAGCTCCGTCTCCCTGCACACACACAGCTCTGTCTCCCTGCACACACAGCTCTGTCTCCCTGCGTGCACACACAGCTCCGTCTCCCTGCGTGCACACACAGCTCCGTCTCCCTGCACACACACAGCTCTGTCTCCCTGCACACACACAGCTCTGTCTCCCTGCACACACACAGCTCTGTCTCCCTGCACACACAGCTCTGTCTCCCTGCACACACACAGCTCCGTCTCCCTGCGTGCACACACAGCTCTGTCTCCCTGCACACACACAGCTCTGTCTCCCTGCGTGCACACACAGCTCCGTCTCCCTGCACACACACAGCTCTGTCTCCCTGCACACACAGCTCTGTCTCCCTGCACACACACAGCTCTGTCTCCCTGCGTGCACACACAGCTCCGTCTCCCTGCACACACAGCTCTGTCTCCCTGCGTGCACACACAGCTCCGTCTCCCTGCACACACACAGCTCCGTCTCCCTGCACACACAGCTCCGTCTCCCTGCACACACACAGCTCCGTCTCCCTGCACACACACAGCTCTGTCTCCCTGCGTGCACACACAGCTCTGTCTCCCTGCAAACACACAGCTCCGTCTCCCTGCACACACACAGCTCTGTCTCCCTGCACACACACAGCTCTGTCTCCCTGCACACACACAGCTCTGTCTCCCTGCACACACAGCTCTGTCTCCCTGCACACACAGCTCTGTCTCCCTGCACACACAGCTCCGTCTCCCTGCACACACAGCTCCGTCTCCCTGCACACACACAGCTCTGTCTCCCTGCAAACACACAGCTCTGTTTCCCTGCGTGCACACACAGCTCCGTCTCCCTGCACACACAGCTCCATCCCATTGCGCGCGCACACACACACACACACACACAGCTCCATCCCACTGCACACACACACAGCTCCGTCTCTCTGCGTGCACACACACAGCTCCATGTCCCTGTGCGCACACACACACACACACACACACACACAGCTCCATCCCATTGCACACACACACACACACACACACACATTCTTCTAGGATCCCAGTTTTCCTGTTGTGGGAATCGGGACGCCTGGTCCAGTTGGTCAGGCGAGGGATCTGTGCTATCTCTCTGAAAAGCTGCTTGGCCTGGGAACCCAGGGCGTCCCCCTGTGCTCCCAGAGCCTGGCCACAGTGCCAGTGTCTGTAAACTTACCACAAGCTCATGCTGGCCGGGTGTGCATGCTCTGTGGTCGCGTAAGGACGCCCCGTGCCCTCCCCGTGGCTTCAGGTTTCCCGGGCACGGTCTGGAAATAGTTCTGGATCTCTGTCATGATGTCCCCGTGTGTCTCTGGCCTACCGAGGAATGATGCAATGCCGCTTAGCAGGCACACCTCAGGCTGGCCGTTCGTGGGGCAAGTACAAGACGGGAAGTCACCAGAGTGCATGTGGACTCCTGCCATCAGGCATTGTCCGGGCTGTGAGTGTCTGCGTCGGAGACGCTGACCGCTGTCCCGTGTGGCCACTGCCAGCATCATGGCATACTGACATGGTGGGCATTAAAGTCACCCCATCTCTGCAGGGAACAGGGGTCTGTGGGTGTGTTGAGGGGGTACTGCAGGCAGTTTATGGGGAATCGCTTTAAAAATAACGTCGATTTTGGTGCAAAAAAAAAAGCTGGAATCTATACACACTGGGGACTTTCAAAATGTTTATGGAAAATGCATATTATTGAAAACCTACGTGTAAATTTCAGAAACTTTTTGCATCAAAACAGTCGTGTTGTGATTCCATTTTGTCTCCATTCCTTGCTTGAATTCAAGGCCAGGGAGGTGCAGTCGCCTCTTTGTGCTGTGGGCTGGCCAACGCACCCACCCCTCGGCGGGGGACGTCCTCCCGCCCTGCCGATCAGGCCATTTTTCGTTGGGCTCAGGCTTAAATTTCACCAGGAAGGGGAGGAACAGGCCTGCTCGTGCAGCCTCGTCGGCAGGCCCACCCCTCTGTCCAGCCTGGCGCCTGCCTGGACCCACCCCCCACTCCCTCCTCTCCAACCAGAATGAAGGAAAGGGGATTGGAGTAACGGAAATGTGGCGAGAGGGGGAGGGGAGAGCGCCAGAGAGGGGCCTCTCGGGAGGAAGCCGGGAGGGAGGGAGGAGGCCCCGCGGACACCCCTCCCCCGGCCGCCCTCCAGGTGTCCACGTTTCTAGGAAGCTCCGACGTGGCGGCCCTGCGGCTGCGCGCGCGCCCCCTGCCGGCCGCTCGGGGCATGGCTCACCTTCCCGAACATGGCTTCCTGGCGCGACCACTCGGCCGGAGCCGGGCGGGCGGGCGGCCCCGGGCCGGGCGGGCGGCGCCGGCCTCGCCCCAGAGGCGCCACCGGCCCCCGCAGGCAGCCCTCGGAGCCCTGCAGTCACGCGTGGGGGATGGGGGCTGTGGTGTGAGCCCTGCAGTCACGCGTGGGGGTGGGGGCTGTGGTGTGAACTGAGCCTTGGAGCCCAAGTGTCAGCGTGCGGGGCTCTGACTGCTGGACAGTCACCAAGAGCACGGCCACCCCCTGCGACTGCGCACTCGAGGCCCCTCCTGGCGCAGCCCTCATTTCATCAACAGTTCTGCTGGTCAGCCATCGCCTGCGTTCGCCCTGGCTGACTTCCCTCCGAGGGGCGGGGGCTGGGGGAGGGGTGCAGGGTGACGTGGCTCTGCCTGGTTGTAGGGTGTGCCTGGATCCTGAGCCCCCGAGCAGGGCCCCCCGCAGCTGGAGCCTGTCCACCCCGCTTGAGATCCGTTAGGTCTCTAAACACAGCCTGCTGGGGAAGGGCGGGGGGCTGCCTGCGCATTTTAGCCGACGTGGCGCAGCCCTCGTTTCCTTACGCGTGTCCCAACCTTTGCCGTGTCTCCTGGAGCGCCCCTAAGTGAGGGCAGGCGGTTTCTATGGAAACCCCTGTCCTGGCTGTGGTCAAGCCATGTTGGAGTTCTGCAGAGCAGAGGCTGAGCGGCGCCATGCTGCCCAGAGACTCGCGTCCCCAGCGAGGCAGTGCGCCACACAGTCCTGCCGCCCCGCGTGCGCAGCTTTGCGCTCAGCTTCGTTTTCTGGCTTTGTCTCCTTTTAGCCCCTGGATCAGCTGGAAATCTGACATAGAACTGGGAGTTCCTGTAGCTTTTTCAAAATTTGAAACCCAGAACTGTCCCTCGGATGCCCTGGCATGAGAAGCTGGCAGAGGTGCAGTGGTCAGAGGGAGGAGTGGGCACGCTGGGGCCCCGGGAGAGGTGTCTGCACCCAGATAGCACCCAGGGTGCAGCCTGTGCTTTTCCTGGCTTGGACTCTCTGTGTGTTGCCCGTTGGGAAGCCAGGGGCCTGGAGGGGCTGGCCACTGGCCGCGTCCACTGTCACAGGCTGGCTTGGTACGAGCTCTCACTGCCAGCCCCACAATCTTGCTGGCTCGTGCTTTACCTCCAGGAAGCTCTCCGAGGGATTTACAGAGTGGAGCACGCGGCAATGGTTGCTGCCACATTTGCCCTGCATCCTTGCAGCAAACATCTGGGCACTTCAGGGATCGGGGAGTCTGGGGCCGCCGGGCATGGCTCCTTTCTGCCCCCGCCCGACAGCAAGGTTTTGGGGAGGTCTCGTCCCTGCTTTGCTAGGGGCCTGCATGAGGGTCTGTGGTGCAGGAGTGTTACCAAGACCTTGGACACGAAACACACGTCTTCCTGAAGTCCACTTTGCGTGGCCCGTGGCAGCATCGTGTTGCCTACGGTGGCTGGTGTTCAGCCTCAGCAGCTCTGGCTAAAACTGCTGACTCACATTGCCAGAAAAGTGGCAAGCAGGGATCCTGGGGGGGGGGGGGGCCTTTAAAAATTTCTTTATCTAAAAGCCAGTGTTAGAAGTAAAAATGGAGAATCTTTTACCTGCTGGCTCACCCCCACTGTCCGCACTGCCTCCCGCCCCCACACATAGCCAAAGCCAGGAGCCAGGGACCCCAGGTCTCCCACCAGGGTGCCAGGGGTCCCGGCATTCTCTGGAGTAAAACACCCTGAGTGATAGCTGCATGTGAGCAGGTTGGCCACGGTGCCCTCTGGCTGGTCCAGCAGTGGAGAAGGCCTCGGGATAACGGCTCCTTCGTCGCTTCTTGGCCTGTACCTGCTGTTCATGCGAGGTACAGGTACAGGTGCTGAAGAGCTGAGATGTGACAGCTGGGCCATGCTGCAGACTGGCAGCGTGACCCTGTGTCGTGGGAGGACACTGACGTCTTGTGAGGTGCCTGCCCGTGTGCACAAGTCTCTCTGTTCCGTCTGCTTCCCTGCCCGAGCCCCCGTGACCTGCCTGCATCTCCGTTGTAGGATGTCAAGGTCTTCAGCGAGGATGGGACAAGCAGAGTGGTGGAGATTCTGACTGACATGACGGCTCGTGACCTGTGCCAGCTGCTGGTGTACAGGAGCCACTGTGTGGATGACAACAGCTGGACCCTGGTGGAGCACCACCCACACCTGGGCCTAGGTAGGGCGACCCTGTCTGCGGTGTGTGGCCATGGCAGCCCCTGGCCGTCTTCTCCCCCGACCCCTCCTGGCATTCCCCAAGGGGCAGGGTCTCTGGGCATCCTAGGCAGGGCAGGTTCCTCATCCAAGCCGTGGTTAGGGCGAGTGCTGGAGACCCACAGGGATTAGAAAGTGGATTTGTCTGTATCCCCTTGCTGAGTTGGATAGTGGGGCGCTGATGGGGTGTGGAGTGTCAGGGGGGTGGTTTAGGGAAGAAGAGTGTCTAAAAAGCAAGAGGCTCTTATAGAGATAGATTTGAAAACACATGCTATTTCTAGAAGGCACTGGAGTACTTTGTTGGGCCTGTGGCAGAGAAAGGAACCAAGAGCCATGTGGACAGCAGGCCCCAGTGGCCCTCTGAAAGGTCTGTCCCTCACGCGGCACCCTTGGGGTGTCCACCGAACTGAGGGCGAGCTTCCAGTTGGAGGATGTGACATCCACTAAGTGGTCATTGCTCTGAGCCCCGCTTCCTTCCTGCACCTCTCCTCCCTCAGCCAGAATCCATTGCGAGAGGAGGGCATGCATAGCCAGGTCACTCCCCAGCCCTTGTGAAGGCCAGGGCTGGAACCACCAAGCTGGAATTCTAATCCAGGTCCCCCACAAGGGTGGCAGAACCTTGAGCCATCGCCACAGGAAGCTGGCATCCTGTTAAAGCTGGAGGTCCAGTCCCACCCCTGCTAAAGGTCGGCGTGTGTGACTGCTGGGCCTCCCCCGGCCTCTGGCAGCCACCTCATTCTTAGCCCAGCAGCTTACCTGTGCATGCCCTGCTGGGGGTCCTCGGACCTCCCGGGGCCGGGCGGTGTGCGCTGTAGTGCCCTGGGAGATCCAGGCTGCCAGGACAGCCCGACAGAGGACATCCTGCTATGACAGGCCATCCGGGCCCTTGGGAAGGGATTCCTACGAGCTTTGGTGCACACAGTTCCCCCAGTGCTCCCGCGGCACGTGCTTGTCGCCTGCACTGGTGCCAAACGTTGTTCTCACTCCCCTACCTAGACTGGCTGGCGAAACAGGTTGCTGCTGGGGGCGGCAGAGTAGCTGCCTGGTCCAAGGCACAGGTTAGACTGCTTGTGGCTGTGCAGCCTGAACGTAGGGAGGTGCAAAGCACAGAGTCCTTCAGGGAAAGACGCTGTCATGTGCGGATGTGGCCTGCTGGCCCTGCAGGCTCCATGTAGCAGGCAGTGGGAACCATACACAGGAGCATGGCAGGGTTGCAGTGTGAAGGTCATGAGTGATTGTCTGCCACCTGCCTTCTGTGGCACCCCAAGCTAGGCTCTCCATCCCTGGCCGAGCACCCCACCTGGCAGGAACAGCTCCTCTGCCTGTGGCTGGGCTTCCCCACCCTTTCCCCAGAGTGAGAGAAGGCCTGGCTGTGGGCACCCTCCTGTGCTGGTGGCACTGGATGTGAGTGGACGACAGGGATTGGCGCTGAGCTCGGTGCCCACACTGGCCTGCACCTCCCTGCCTGCTCACACATGTCCTCCTCCCCTGGCAGAGCGGTGCTTGGAAGACCATGAGGTGGTGGTCCAGGTGGAAAGCACCATGGCGAGTGAGAGCAAGTTCTTGTTCCGGAAGAATTATGCCAAATACGAGTTCTTTAAGAACCCCACTGTGAGTTGTCCCCTGGGGCACAAGGCCCAGTACCCTTGGGACTTGAGGGGTTGGACAGAGTTGGATCACATGACTGCTCTGAGACCCACAGGCAGTAGCTGGGTCTGAGGGTCTGGCTGCCATCCCAGCAGCTGCTGGGGCCAGCCGGGCAGTGGTGGTGAGGGGTGGGGGCGGGCAGGCTGGACCTCCCAGGGACCCCCAGAGTCCCTCAGTCACTGTCAACACTCCACATGGTAAGGCTGGGTCTGCGTCCCTGCCTCGCAGCCTTCCTAAGGACACGCTGTGTGGCTGACCCCCTTTCCTATGGGACCCCCGCCAGGGAGCCTGGGGCCCTGAGACCCTGATGCACTGGCGCTCTCAGAGTGGAGCTGCTTTTTTATCCTGAAGTGGTGAATTCCATTAGTGAGAGTCAGGCCGCAGAGGAGACTTGCTCACGTGACCGTGCTTCACGATTGAGCTTCCGGAATTCTCAAGTGGCCCTGAGTTCAGATGCTGCGCCTCTCTGCCACAGGACCTCAGACCTGAATTCTGAGGGAGGCAGATTGGTTGTTTCCAGCTCGGAGCCAGAGGAAATAGGACTGAAGGCTGTGTGACAGAGGTCCAGTGCCCATGTGCATGTGGAACCCCGTGGGGACGCAGAGGTAGACGCACCTGCCTTCCCGCTCAGAAGCTAACCGTGAGGCGTGTGGCTTTCCCTGTCTAGAACTTCTTCCCGGATCAAATGGTTACTTGGTGCCAGCAGCCGAACGGCAGCCAGTCGCAGCTTCTGCAGGTACTGTCCACGGGGCTGGGTGTGGGAGAGGAGGGCACGTGGTCGCACTGTGTTCCCAGCCCCAGCAGCCATGATGGGGTGGAATGACCTCTGAGAGAAGAAAGTGTTCGCTCTGACCCTCAGAATCTTTCCTAAGCTCTCTGCGTCACTGGCGCACCCTCTAACCCCTGGCGCTTTCCTAAGCTCTCTGCTGCACGCACACGTCTTCCTGCATCACCGGTGCATCCTCTAACCCCTGGTACTTTCCCTGCGCAGAACTTCCTGAACTCGAGCAGCTGCCCTGAGATCCAAGGGTTCCTGCACGTGAAGGAGCTGGGCAGGAAGTCGTGGAAGAAGCTATATGTGTGCCTGCGCCGCTCTGGCCTGTACTGCTCCACCAAGGGGACATCCAAGGTGCGTCCCCCGGGCTGACCGGTGCTCAGCAGGGTCCCAGATGCTGTCCATTGGTCTGCCTCAAGGCGGCTCGGCACGCACACCCGGAGGCTTTGTTGATGCTGGGCCCAGGGCAGCCACACGAGATTGTGAGGCTCTCCCCACTCAGACAGCAGTGCCTTCTTGGAGACACCCACTGAAGACCCATGCGGCTGCCCATGTCAGGGCAGAGCCAGTGTGCTTGGTGCTGTCCGTTTCCCAGGTCCGCCATTGTGTGAGGCTACGGTGGGCCAGCAGCCATGGGCTCTGGGAAGTGATTTCCTTGGTTAGGGGTAGGTGAGTTCAGTTTTAGGTTGGTACTTCACACGTGGCTGTGCCCAGTGCCTGCGGCTGGCCTGGCCAGGGGTGGGGGCTCTGTACCCTCCCCTGAAGCCTGACCGTGTCCCCACAGGAACCCAGGCACCTGCAGCTGCTGGCTGACCTGGAGGAGAGCAACGTTTTCACCCTGATCTCGGGAAAGAAGCAGTACAGCGCCCCCACGGACCACGGACTCTGCATCAAGGTACCCCCAGCGCCACATGCCCACAGGACTACTCCCACAATAAGCGCTTTCCATGAACTCGGACCCCTGACACACATGCAGACACACACACACCAGGAGTGCGCCTGCTCCCCTTCCCCAGGTTAGGCTGGGCTGTGCTGATGGCCGCCTGCCTAGTTGGTCAGCATGGCCAGTGCGCCTCCCATGCCGTGAGCCTTCAGCTGCGTGATCTTCTCTTGGGTTCAGACCTGGAGCAAGAACTTGGTCAGCCAGATTGCCCACGTGGGGGAGCCACAGGCAGCTGTGCTTGGACCCCCCCCAGTGGCTGGCCACGCAGAGCCTAGGACTGGGTGGGCTGACACAAGGAACAAGCTCTGTCACAAGATGGCGCCTTGCACCCCCATTCAGCAAGGTTCCCTCAGTGGCCCAGCTGGCAGTGCGGGGAAGGCCAGGGGGAGGCCACGGCTGTCCCTTTGCGCCTTGTTTAGCCTGGGCGTCATCCTTGGTCTATACACATGGGGCAGGCAGGGCCCGTGACAAGACCTGGTGTTGTCTGCAGATCAGCTGTCCCTGGGCGTCTTGGCATGAAGCCTCAAGGTTAAAGGAGGCTGAAGTAGTAGGGACCAACTTGAAGGCAGCCTCAGGAGGAGCTGCAGGGGGCAGGAGGCCTGTGCCCATCGCCACACCGCTTCTCCTGTAGGAGCATGCCTCTGTCCTCGGGCTCCATAATGGCAGCAGGACTGGCATCTCCCCATGCCGTCTCTTGCTTCTGGGGTCAGGGCTCAGCTTTTTCCTGGCCCCGTGGGGCTGCCTGTGCCTGGCACTGGGACCCACCTGCCCTGCACAGGCTGCCGGTTGCCACCTCAGCACCCCTTCTCCAGGCCCTCCAGCCTTCTCAGGCTCCCACTTGGAGTCCAGCCTGGTGCCACTCCCCAGAGCCCCAGGTGGTGTCACCTGCCTAGCCCGCTCTGGGCAGGGCCTGGACAGTCCAGCCCTCCTGTGCCTCAGGGCAAGATCTCCCTCAGGGAGCCCAACTGTCCCTCCCTGGTCTCACCTGTTCCCTGCTGATGTCCACTGACATTCTGACACCAGCCCAAGGCCAGACCAGTCCTGGACGGAAGCTGTGAAGGGCGGCTGGGTGGGTGGACGAGGGCCCTCTCCCTGACTCAGCCCAGCTCAGTTCATTGCCTTCTACTTCCTTTAGCCAAACAAAGTGAAGACCGAGACCAAGGAGCTGCGCCTGCTGTGCGCTGAGGATGAGCAGAGCCGCATATGCTGGATGACCGCCTTCCGTCTGCTCAAGGTATGGCCACACCCGGGACCGGCAGCCGGGCACAGGCATGCCCGGTGCAGGAGTTGCTTGCACATGGCACCATCTCCAGATGAGAGCTCAGCAGCTGTCGGCAGGGCTGAGCATGGAGAAGGGCAGAGCCAAGGCTCCGTTTTCAGCCCGGGGTAGGGGCACCTGGGTGTTGTGTTAACAGCACCTCTGGTCTCGGTCCCCTGGGCCCGTCAGCCTCTGCCGCACCCCAGCCCCAGCCACCAGGGACAGCCAAAGCATGGCCAGAGACAGACCTTTGTTGCTAGTTGAGACCCATGGGGTTGGGGGCCCGGCCAGCAGTGAGTACCGGGAAGAGCTGAGAGTGACAGTGGGGGGTTGGTGACCCCCGTCCCTGAGCAGCCTTCCGAGGGGGTGGATCTCCTGAGAGCCTCACGTGGCCCGGTGCCCACAAGACTCCATGCGACAGCGCATGCAGTCGTGCAGATAGGCTAAGCACCAAGTGCGAGCGCACGAATCAGGAGGGTCCTGGAGACCTTGTGAAGGGAGGAGCTAAGTGCTTGGTGCAAGCACTTCTGCAATATCCCCTTTTATATGACACGCATTTTCCAGGAACCCTTTAAAGACCTATCAGCCTCATTTTTTGTTTCCCAGGACATCCCTTTGCACACGAATTCTATTGCATGTGGCTGGAATTATTCAGACCTAAACCAGACATGCAAGCTGAGGCTAGCTGACCAGGATGGATGTGGCAAAGTGTCAGGTCTCTCTCAAGCCAGAGGTGTTTGGCCAGCTGTGACTGGTGGGCACAGTGGCCCGTGAACTGCTGCACATGCCCCTGAGGAATCGCTGAAGGGGAGAGAGGGGGCTTAACTTGCACCTCTCCCTCTGGTACCAGGAGCCGAGCTCCAGGGACAATCTGAACGAATCCCAGAACCTGTCATATTGTCCCACTGATAAACACCTGAACTTTAAAAAAAAATTGTGTTAGATTTGTACCTTTATATCAGGGGGTCTTTGAAAAGTTCATGAAAAGCATTAAAACACTGTATGGATGTCAGACATTTTGGGAACCAAAATAATCTCTTTTCAAAATTGTGTTTGAGACACAGGGACAGGCACAGAGAGGGCCCCCATCCACTGGTTCCTATCCCAAACGCCTAGGAGCCAGGGGCACTGCGTCCCAGGGTGCTCGGAGGCTGGGGGACAGGGAGGCAGAGGCCAGCGCACCTGAACCCCAACCTGGCCATCCTCCCACTGCTTTCTTTAACTCCATCAACAAGTCTGCAACATTCTGTGTAAATAGTAGAAACATGACATTGTGAAAGGTTGCAGGTTTTTTTCTGAATATTTTTGACCCATGGCTGGTTGAATGCAGCAGGTTTAGGAGCCCAGGACCACCCTCAGGTACATTAACTTGATAAGAAGAGTCGGAATTCAGCAAGTCTTATATTTGTGATTCTCGTTCTGACAGTGCCAGGCCTAGGGCAGGCCCAAGTGAGCTCTGGGTGGGAACAGCCAGCTCTCTGCTTCAGCACTCAGTTGTCCCAGCGCTTACGTGTCACAGCAGACACGGCACATGTGCCTCAGTCTCGGTGTCTAGCTTTCATCAGAGACTGGCCTTGAGAAGTGACCACCTGTGTGGTGACCTTCATCCCTCGCCCGAGTCACATGGCTCCTGGAGACTGTGCCTGGCCCGTGACCTCTAGGTAAACAGATCACAGACCCCTCTGTGAGTTAGGACATCGCATGAAGCTGGAGGTCGCCTTCCACGGTCAAGGCCAGACCTTGCCTTGTGCAATGTTAATTTGTGTTGGGGGAGGCAGAGACACACTTTGGGCCTTTGTGTTCAGGGGTTCTGAACCCACACATGTGACCATTCATGGGCCAAAAATATTTTGAAAACCTGTGGCATCTGTGCTAAACACATACATTCTTTCCTATCACTTGCTGAACAGTTGGGTATAACTCCATGGTGTTTGCATTGCATTGACCATTAAAAGGAACTTGGGTGTGCGGTGTAAAACGTGTGTGCTGGCTCCATGGGGCTAGCGGTGTGATGTAGGAGTGTGTGGACTTGCAGACTCGGCACCCCGGGGACAGGGCGAGCCAGAGGGCAGTCCTGGGGGCCTAGAGCCGTGGCAGTGCGTGAACGCCCTAGAGCCGTGGCAGGGCGTGAATGCCCATGTGCTCCTCTGCCTGCGCCAGCAGTTTCTTTCTGCTTCAGTGTGGCTAGCCCAGGATGCTCCACTTTAGTTGTGTCGTTTTTTTGTTTTTTACTGTGTCTTTTCTGCCTTTCTGAGTCTTGATATTTAGGGAATGTCTGTTACACCCCTTCTTTTAGCAGTCCTGTCCAAGTAGGTACTAAATTGAATGGTGATAACACAGTATCATGGTCAGTTGACCATTTCTGCCTGAATGTATCATTCATTCTCCAAGCTTGTACCGCCTCTTTCTTCTGCCTCCCATTTGGGGTCAGTCCTGTTAAGCCCTTACTTAATGAGCTAATGGCCGCTTTCCAGCATTTGTCTTAGACATTTCGCCTTACTAAAATCTCATAAAATGTACTACTCTGGCCACACTCATGCCGGTTTAAGACACTGACTTCATTTATGCCTGCCTGGTATTTACATTGATTATTTACATATTTAAAACTCTTAAGGCTGTTGTTCGATATACTTAGCTTTTAATTAGTACATATTTGGATTTTTCCTGAATTTCCAGACTTCTGGCACTGCAGGAACACACCCTAAATGGATTATTTTACTGTGAGCCTGAGAAAGTTCCAGTTTCTGTGTCACCTTTGCTAATTCTAAGCCGGCAGCCCTTCTCTGTGTGCCGGCAGCCTGTCCCCCACCGCAGCACGGGGAGGTGTTCTCTGCCGTGTCTCACACGCGTCAGGGTGCACGCTCGTTGCCAGTCCCGACACCCGGACGTGATGTCTGTGCATTTGGAGAACTGTTCGGCTGCTCTCTCTCCCGACACATCTCCAGGCCTTTCCTCGTGGGCAGAGATGCCCCGTACACCTGTTCCTGTGTCCTGAATACGTCCATACTGGAAATAGCCCATGCTGCCAGACTCGGCACCAAGCAGCCGTCCGCTGTGGAAGGCCAGAGGAAGATGTTTATTTCATTCTCAGCTTTTACTCCTTTCTTCCTGGCCAACCGGGCTGGATGAGTAACCTGGGGGTAGAAGTTGCGACCCTGTGTGGGAGACTGTTCCCGAAGTGAATGACTGGACCTCAGAGAGCACGGAACAGGACTTGCTGTTTAAGTTCTGTCCCAGGATCTGGGCACCTCGCTTGGTTCCAGTCAACAGTTTAGAGTTGACTGGCAAAGCTCTTAGCACAGCACCGGGGTTCAGGTTCTCGGTCACAGCCTGCGGGGGGTCAGGGTCTGACTCTGCCTTTTCCCCTCAGTATGGAATGCTCCTGTACCAGAACTACCGCATCCCTCAGCAGAGGAAGGCCCTGCTGGCGCCCTTCGCCACCCCGGTGGTAAGTGCAGCTGCAGCCCCAGGTCCAGCCTTGGGCCACGCTGCTTCAGGCATACACTGGCCCAGATCACCCAGGGGAACTCCTCCCAGCCCCGCAGGCCTGCCACGAGTGGCTTCTCTGGTTCCCCGATGAGGGCTAAACTGAGCCCTTGGAGCACTTGCTGTCCTCAGCGTATTCCGCGTCCCCCGAGAGGGAGCCGAGTCCCCTGAGAGGGAGCCGAGTCCCCCCAGAGGGAGCCGAGACAGCTGCTGGACTAGGGCCATCGGGGGTTCTTTATTATTGAACACTGCAAGAAAATCCAAATGCTCATCTTCAAACCGAAGCCACGTTTATGGGGGAGCCTGGAACATGCCATGTGGGAAGGCTCCCTCCCGGGCCGTGGGCTGCCATGGCTACCCACTCTAAGAATGTGTGGCTTCCTCCTTTGCAGCGCAGTGTCTCTGAGAACTCTCTGGTGGCGATGGATTTCTCTGGGCCATCAGGAAGAGTGATTGACAATCCGGCGGAGGCCCAGAGCGCTGCCCTGGAGGAGGGCCATGCTTGGCGGGTAAGCCACGAGCTCTGTTGAGAGGCCGTGGGCAGCCACTGGCTCCCGAGCCACCCCACCCATCTTCCCACGCGTGTCACCACAAGCGCGGGCTCCGGGGACAGGACGAGCTGTGAGGGCAGTCCTGGGGGGTCACGCCATGCGCTCCGGGGACAGGGCGAGCTGTGGAGGGCAGTCCTGGGGGGACGCGCCGTGCGCTCCGGGGACAGGACGAGCTGTGGAGGGCAGTCCTGGGGGATCACACCGTGCGCTCCGGGGACAGGGCGAGCTACGGAGGGCAGTCCTGGGGGGACGCGCCGTGCGCTCCGGGGACAGGGCGAGCTGTGGAGGGCAGTCCTGTGGGGTCACGCCATGCGCTCCGGGGACAGGGCGAGCTGTGGAGGGCAGTCCTGGGGGATCACACCGTGCGCTCCGGGGACAGGGCGAGCTACGGAGGGCAGTCCTGGGGGGACGCGCCGTGCGCTCCGGGGACAGGAGCACCGGCTGCGGCACCTGCCCCGCGTTGACCTCGCCCTTGCTGCCGGCCTGTCTTACAGAAGCGAAGCACTCGGATGAACATCCTGTCCAGCCAAAGTCCGATGCATCCTAACTCATTCAGCACCAGTAAGCATGGCGCACGGGATGGTGCCCGCCACCCCCAAGGCGGCCGCGCACTTCCGGGGCTGGACTTCCGGGGAGGCGCTTGGACTAACGGGGAGGCGCCTGGGCTACGGGAGGCGCCTAAATTCCGGGGAGGTGACCAGACTGCTCGAGGAGGTCGTCCTGCTCGCCACGGTCACCATGCCCGGTCTTACTCTGCCCCGTTCTCCATCCTCAGTGATCCACCGCACCCAGCTGTGGTTCCATGGCCGCATCTCCCGTGAGGAGTCGCACCGCATCATCAAGCAGCAAGGGCTGGTGGATGGGTGAGGCTCGCGGGGTCCCCGGCGTGGGGGTCGGGGTGCTGACGTGGCGGGCCACCCTTGGGAGCTGGGCAGCGCAGGAGCCCCTTGGGGTCGCCCAGCCTGCGACCCGCGGCCACACGGCCCCGACCGTCCCCCGAAGCCCCCCGGGTCGGGCGGACCGCGGGGCGCACACGTCACTTCCGGCTCCTTTGTCCTTTGTCTCGCGCTGAGGACGTGGCCATGTGCTGGCCGTGGTGGGGCGGGGGGCTTCTCGGGCCTCCGGGTCCATCGGGCGGGGCGGCCGAGCGCAGGACCCCCGTGCCGACGTCCTCAGGAGCGGCTGAGCCCCACTCCCCTCCCGTGGGGACCCCCGGAGCTCGCGGTGATGTGGGCAGTCTTAGCCGAAGCCCCCCACTTCTTGGGTTTGATTTCAGGAGTAACTTGAGGAATCTTAAGGTCCGGGGTCAGCTTTCCTGGGACCCCCAAGTGCAGGAGACCCGCCTCGTGCGGCACAAAGTCGCTTTGGCGGCGCTTGGGTACTTGGGGGGGGCAGGGAGGCGCGCGCAAAGAGCACCCCCTTTGTCTGCAGGCCGCCCTTGGGCCCCACCTTCTGGGGACTCCTGGGCAGTGGGGCTGGCGGCCAGAAGGCGGCGGCCAGGGCGGGCTGGCACCGTGCCCACAGGGTGCGAGCCACCATGTTTTTGCCACGCTGGCATTCCTTTGTGGCTGCTGCCATTGGTCAGAGTTGCGCCCTCGTGCTGGATCTCCGAAGACACAAAGGAGGGGGTGCTGCGCTCTGAGCTCGGTTGCCCCTCCACTCGGTCTCTCTTTTTTTTTTTTCTGCTTGGCCCCCGCGCCAGCTGGGCGCCGCCCTGTGCGTGCCTCTCCTTGTCCTTCGCCTCAGTTGCTGCACCTCTGCCCCTGGCTGGCGCTAGGGTCAGCTGTCGCAGGCTCCCCGCCTGGCACGGGGGCAGCGCAGCTGACGCTGTCCTTCAGAGAGCCCTGAAGCCCGTGGGCGGCCCCTGTCCCAGCATCACCAAGCCAGGGAGTGACCCCTGAGCCGCCCCCTCGGGAGGCAGGCCGGGCCTCGCCGAGCAACCTCACTCAACGAGGGCCTGCTCTGTGTGGCCCGAGTGCCCTGCACCCCAGGGCTGGGCGAAGACTTGGCCAGGTTGTCCTCACCGTCCTTGGAAATCTTTACAACTTAGTGCCACAGAACGCACCCCCTTCTTCTGTTCTCCCCTCCTCCACTCAACCCCTCCTTCCCCACCCTCTTCCTCCTCACTCACCTCCTCCCCCAGCTTCTCCCCCTCGCCCCCTCCTCCCCCCTCCCCTTCCCTTCTCCCCCAACTTCGCCCCCTCCTCCCCCCTCCCCTTCCCTCCTCCTCCAACTCCAGCTCCTCCCCCCTCCCCTTCCCTCCTCCTCCAACTCCAGCTCCTCCCCCCTCCCCTCCCTCCCCTGCTCCCCCTCCCTCCTCCTCCAACTCCTCCCCCTCCCCTTCCCCCCTCACCTCCTCCCATTCCCTCCTCCCTTAACTCCTCCCCTGCTCCCCCTCCCCTCCTCCCATTCCCCCCTCCCCTCACCCCTTCCCCTTCTCCACCCCACTCTTCTCTCTCATCTCACCCATCCTGCAATTTCTCCACCTTGGCCTGGAGTCCCCGTGGTTCCAGATGTGGATAATGGGGTCACAGGATCGTGTGTGCAGCTGGGATGTCAACTCTGACCATCACGGGCTGTTTTTATCTCCCAGACTTTTCCTGCTCCGTGACAGCCAGAGCAACCCGAAGGCCTTCGTCCTGACACTGTGCCATCACCAGAAGATCAAGAACTTCCAGATCCTGCCTGTAAGTGCTGGGCCCGGTGCCCTCGGTGCAGGTCAGGCTCAGGCAGCAGGGGTCAGTCCAGAGCGAGCCTGGGCCTGCCCAAGGCTTCCCACTGCTTCTGCAGTCACAGTTGGAACTGGTCTGACACGCGTCCCTGGCACCAACACCAGAAAGGTGGAAAGCAGGCTGGTGACCATGAGCCCAGACACAGGAACCATGTGATGGAGACTGGGTTCTTTGCTCTAAGCTGTTTAGGAAGGTTCCAGAAAAATGCCCCAGTCACTTAGTCCTCTAAGAAGACTGCGTTGTTCTGGCCATGGCTGCAGGCCAGCCTGCCAGCACTCTGCCTGCCCAGCGCCTGTTAGATTTGTGGGTTGTGCTCCAGGCCTCCCTCGGCTGTGAGCACCCCAACCTCAGCAGGCTGGCAGACTCCACCAGCACAGATGTTCTCTGGTGCCCTGGCTGGTGCTCGGATTCTCTACCAAGGGCCTTCTAGGTGTTCTCACGCCGGGGCCCGTGACTAGAACTGTGCACGGTGGACACCTAGAGCCTCTCTGGGTAGCTTTATTCTCCCGGGGCGGGGGCCCCACCATCACTGGGAGCTTAGCCTAGTGGCCTCGGCAGCTCGTGCGAGGGCCAAGGACGCCCAGCCTCCCCTGGGAGGTGACTGCCCTGAGGCCAGGGGGTCTGACCGGTGGGCGGGCACGTGTGTCCTTGTGTCTCCGCAGTGCGAGGAGGAAGGCCAAACCTTCCTCAGCCTGGATGACGGCAACACCAAGTTCTCTGATCTGATCCAGCTGGTCGACTTCTACCAGCTCAACAAGGGGGTGCTGCCGTGCAAGCTGAAGCACCACTGCATCCGCGTGGCCTTATAAGTGCCCAGAGCAGGCCGTGCGCACGGGAACCCGGAAGAAACCCGTGTGCACGTCATCAGAGCAAGATGGTTCCTCCGGTCCCACCGCCGCACACCTGGCGGACCGCCGCCCTGCAGATTGGCCAAGGCAGGGCAGGCCCAATAAGCAGCTCAAGCTGTCGAACCAACTGGAATCTTCGATCACCATAGCTGGGTGCCAACGGAACAAGAGCCGGAGAGAAAGAATTGGAAAAGAACTCTTGCCCTGGAGTAATCTTGACAATTAAAACCAATATGTTTACTTTTTTGTATCGATCACTTCTTTGCACTCCTTCTGTGTTGTCATTGTTGGGTGCAGCCTCTGGCAGGAGGGCATGGTAGCTAGCTGGTCAGCTGTGTGGGAGTGGCGAGTGGGGAGGCGGACTGACCACCAGGTGCCCCTTGTCTGCAGAGGAAGTCGCAGCCTGCCCGGTCGCCCCCATCCCTGGCCTCCCTCCCCAGTATACTTGAAGAGCTTTGTCCCCTGTGGTAGCCGTGCAGTCTCGTGAGCCCTTGCCCCACGCCCAGATGTGCGGTCCTGTTGTCCGCGGGCTCTGTCTCTTTGGGAACCTCACTGTGCCCCCAGCATAGCGGCCCGGGCAGCGCCCCTCCCCACCAGCCCCTCGCTGGTCTCGGGCATGTCCGGGCCCCGGCAGCTGCCCACGGTAAGAAGGCCGTGTGGCCCATCTGGGGAAACCTCAGCCTGTTCAAGTCACTGCCTTACCCCCTTGCAGTGTGTGTGTCCTCACGTGGCTAGTCCCAGCCCCCCAGGCGGGAGGGTGGGTGGGTGAAGAAGCTGCAGAGAGTGGCACCTGGCGGCTTTGTGCCCAGCGGTGTGACTGAGGACAGCGTTCGGGCTCTGGCCCGGCCAGTGGTGGTGGCAGCACAGCGTTCACCTGGCAGGAGCTGTCCCACCTCGGGCTTGAGAGGAGCCAGTCCATACGTGACTGCCCTGCCCACGATGGCCGCTGGCCAGCTCCCACTCGCGTGAGAGCCGAACCGAGGCAAGGCCGGCTGCCGCCTGCCCGCAGCGTGGAGACGCAGGCCGCCACTCGTGGCGCGCTCCCACGGCTCCCGTGAAATGCCGGCTTACTCTTAAGCACGGGGACGTTTTTTAGCAAAGCTTCTTTCGCCAGAGATGCTCAGTGGCCTCCTCTTGGCTGGCACCCACTCGCCCCTTGGGAGGGCCAGCTGGAGTGACGCGGTCCGCGCCTGGCGGCCCCTCCACTGAGCTCCGCCCTGGGGAGGGCTCCCCGGCCCCCCACCCGCCCCCTGCCCCTCATTGGCCAGACATTCACCGACAGCTCTAGGGTTTCTCTGCTCTGTCTCCGTAGATGACGCAACAACGCCCGACCCTCCCCTCGCTCCGCCCCCGACGGACAGCTAGGGTGTGCAGTATTTCATATTTATACGTGTGCGTTTTATTTAAAAGAAGAACAGCTTGGCTCTGACTCACAGTTTTATATGTAGCTGGTTTGACGTAGTCTTTTGTATCTGCAGCGTAGTGGATTGCTGAGAGTGTAGATTGCCCTGCCCGCGCGCAACAGACTTCTCGCGGCCCCTGGCTGGGACTCCCACCTAGAAACAGCGCGTCCCCTGCACCTGCGGCGGCTCCGGCCCCCAGGCCGGGGACGGAGGACATCGGCCTTTTATTTTTGTATCGAATTGACGTGAATGTAAAGGGACAGCTCAGGGTTGTTGTGGAGCCTGTTGCCTCTTTTCTCTCTGCCTGTTGTTTTTCTTTTCTGATTGGAAACTCCATTGTAGCAACCTGGACTAAGTTGAGAAGGACAAATGCCAAATGCTTTGGGTGTGGGTAGAGTTCCAGAACCTTCTTTTTGTTTGCTAAGCCCTGAATAAACATGTGCCTCAGCTTAGGTGTTTTGTCCTCCCTGCTGCCCCCAACACCTGGCAGTCTGACCCATCGCTGCGCCTTGCGGGCTGGGACCAGCTCCTCGTAGATTTGTGCTGTGGCAGGAGTGCCCTGGAGTGCCCCCTGGGGACTGCAGAGGCCTTGGCGAGGACACACACCCTGTGCTCCGCCTGTACATATCGCTGTTTGGCTCGTGAACCCAATTGTAAACGTTGAGGTATTTTTGTACAATTAAGGGACTGATGTTCTGTTTCTTGTACCTAGAAATAAACATTAATACAGTGTTCTTCATTTTCCACGGTTTGTCCCGTGTGTCTTTTTTACCACCCTCGCCGCACACCCACTGCAAACCACAGCAACGCTGCCTAACCCTGTGGGCCACCCAGCACGCGCTGGGTGCAGGGCACCTCTCGCCCACAGGTCACCCATCCCTGCGAGTTCCCGAGCGGTGTGGCTGCAGGCCACGGCACAGCCAGCAGAGGGCAGGACAGGCCACGACCGACGCCCAAGTTCTCACTTTGCTAGTGCTGTCTGCCCTCTGCGGTGGGAGAGGGCTCCGATCCTGAGCCCTGTCACCTCATCTCCCCCAGGGAGCGAAACCCCTCAGAGAGCCATCCCGGTGCAGTGGAGATGGTAGCAGCAGAACCAGAAGTGATGGTTGGCCCTGGGGGCCCCTGAGGAGGGTCTTGCCCCTGGCCTGAGCCCTGCCTGGGGCTTCTATCAGTACAAGCACCCACCACAGTCCCACTAAGCCTCACCAGGCAGCCGGGCCCCCACGGGACCCTCCACCCCAGCTGTGCCATGCTCCCCTCTGCTTGTCCACCTTCTGTCGCCCTCCCAGGCCAGGTACACACAGATCACAAGAGCGTGGTCATGGGAAGGTGGGAGGTGGCCCGAGACACAGAGCCCACCCACAGGCCCGGTCCTTGCCGCTCACAGCTGGAAGCAGCGGCAGGCCACACATGGCAAGGGGCTGCCATCTTGGGTCCGGACCTGTAGCTGTGCTACAAGGGCCTCTTCATCAAGGCCTGGGCCATGCTTGCGCACGCGAACACATTCCACACTGTGTCCTGGGACAGCCCAAGGACCGCTCACAAGCATGGGTCAGCAAACAGCATCTGCAGGATGGGGCCGACAACCCTTTCATTGCGTTTGTAAATGCCGCCTGCAAGACTTGCAAAACCGGCTCCAGCAGACAGCCAGGGGGTCTGAAACCTGCTGTGGTGGGAATGCAGGGGGTGCTCCCAACGCCCGTGGCTCACGGCAGAGCGGCAGGAATGCAGGGGCCCCCCCACCCTCAGGCTGGCTAAACAGCCCTCCCAAGGTAGACCAGGGTAGACCAGGTGCTCAGAGCAGTGTTGTGGGGGGCACTTCTCCCACACAAACTGTCAGAGGGGGCGCCAGGAGAGACCACACCGTTCCCCAGGAGCCCTGGACACAGGACACAGACTCAAGCTGGCAGGGTTCCATGGTGTCCTTGAAGGCACTGGCCGAGGCAGGGAGGCAGGCAGTTGGACTTCCCACCTGCCCTTCCCCGCCACACTCCCCCACCAACAGCCTTGGCAAGCGTGTCCAGTCGGCCTGGCGCGCTCGCCCCGTGGATCCCACCGCACTGAGTACGTGTGAGGGGCCTCAGCGTTTTCTGCCTGTGTGAGTGTGCCTTGCTTGGCTGGGGGCTGTGTGAAGCCCAGGCCTCCGTGACACTCCTCAGGAGGGAGCCCAGGGTGCTTGTCAGATAAGACTGTTCACTCCCCCACAGTCCACCAGTTTGTGCTATCTCAAAGTTGCTTGCTTTAAACCCACCAATAGAAGCCTGCCAACTTGCTCCTTTTAAAAGTTAACAGTTAAACTGACCAATCAGGACTGTGGATTGGCCTGAAGTGTATAAAAGCCCTGTGCTGTCCAGCCCAGCTGCTGCCGCCCTCCCCCATCCCGCTGCACTGGAGGCGCCCGGAGCCCAGACCGGGCTGAATAACCCGCCCTTATGTGTCTGCATCGACTTCAGACTCCTGATGATTTCTGGCGATCTCAAAATTGAGGGTACAACACAAGGAGGTGACCTCATCTCCTGCCACCCCATCTCTGAGTCCCCAGCTCCCCCTGCACAGACAGGCTATGTCTCAGTGGGAAGCCCGCTCTCCCCAAATGCCGCTCCGGGTCCCTTCATTCGGAGTACACCTGTGGCAGGAGATGAGTCAGGACACACAGGTGTGCAGGTACACACTGAACCCTGCTGTGCACATGAACTGTGCCTCATGCAGCCCCTATGCCGCCACGCAAAGCGTGGAGCAGACCCCCTCTTCCAGCCCTGCTTGGCTGTACCCGCATTCCCTGGGGCATGGTGGGGCCACGGCAGGGTCCTCCTGGTCACACTCACTCAGGATCAAGTTCCCCCAGCTCAGTGGACTGCAGGGCAAAGGCCCGCACGTGGCTGTGTCCCTGAAGCCAGCAGCATGGCCACATGCCGAGAGCGCAGCCAGGGCCGACCTCAAGCGTCCATTGCATGGTGTAGGGGACGCCTGGGCAGCCAGCAAGCACGCCTTCCAAGTGTGTCTATGGCTGTTTCTGAAGGAGACGGGCTATGGATCCAAAATGGAGTGCCCACCCTCTCGGAAGGAAGTGGGCACTGCTCAGCACAGCAAGAGCCCAGAGAAGGCAAGAGGCGGAGGACGAGGTGTGTGCAAGCTGTGTCGGTCTGTGTCCTCCGGTGCTTGGGGGGCCTGGCTGCTGGGCCTTCAGACCTGGGACCCTTCACTGTCACACAAGCTCACTCCCCGGCAGCGTCCCCAGACCCATCACTGCAAGAATGCCTGCCAAATGCAGAGGACATGTGTAGGGGTTCCTGGAGTTCTGAGGCCCAGCACAAGGACAGAGGGAGGCGCTGCAGGTGAACAGGCACACAGGGTCCTGCTGGCACCTCTCCTTTGCCGGAGCCTGTCAGGTCACGTGCTCTCTGGATGGTGGGATCCAGCCCTCCCCAGCCGTCAGCCATCTCGGTCAGCCCCTGGCGCTGGGGCCGCTCCAGACCGTGCTCCTGCACACACACGTGGGACGCCTACGGGGCGTCTTAGCGCGGACAATGCTCACAGGAACACCCAGTCAGCTCACGTCTCCTTCAGCTCCCCAGAGCTCCCACCCACACATGCACAGCCATGGGGAACCTGGATTTTCCCAAATTCCTCCTTACCCTGGCATATCCCGAGCTCACATAGGCTTCTTTGAATCCGACACGTGGAGGGTACACAGGTAGTTTCAAGGCCATGCAGACATCGGCCCACACTTGGTCTCGGACCCATGTGCATGGGGTCGCCTGTGGTCTCACACACAGAGGCCACACGTGGTCTCAGGGCCCATGTGGGGGCTGCACGTGGTCTCAGGGTGCACAAGGT